ACGTGTCCTTGCTTGATTGGCCTGCACTGTTTAAGAACTTTGATGGGAGGTGGTGTTGGGGTGGCTGTGTGCTCACTGACACGCGCGTGGGAAGGTGGAGGCTGGCAGCCCCTGGGCAACAGGGCTGGGGGAGGCCTGCAGTCTGGGGGTCTGCAGCCCAGGAGGTGTCAGGAGTGGCGGCCAGGGGAGAATGGTTTGGGGTCTAGGACTTGCAGGGAGATAACTCAGACCTGGGTGGATGGGCTTTCTGATAATGTGGGCAATGTCCAGTATAGCATTCTGCATGCATCGCCTCCCTGTGGCCTAAGAACCCTGTGGGGTTATCACTGGCCTCGCTCTAGAGTAGGCCTGTTGGTGTTGAGGGTACACGGTGGGTTGCTAACCCATAAGGTCAGCAGTTCGAAACTAGCAGCTGCTCAGAGGGAGTACAATTGGACTTTCTACTCTCCTGAGCGTGATACTCCTCTACACCATAGCGCCCTCTGCCCATGCCCAAGTGGCACACCCTCAAGGTGGCCCACAGGAGCCAGTGGCTCAGATTCAGGCCCCTGAAGACCAGGTTGTGCTCTTACGAGGCTTACCCCTGGAGGATGGGGCTTCCCTAAACCAGTGTGGGGCTGGAGACCTGCCGCTCTGGAAGTAACTGGCGTATGCTTGGAGGCAAAACCCAGGATTCCCTGGCTCATGCCGGGCAAGTGAAGGGGCAGACTCCCAAGATGGAGGACGGGAACTGGCCGGGCACAGGTGGCTTTTCGTTGATGTTGCACCCTCCTTTGGCAAGAAGGGTCCTCATGCCAACTCCTAAGTCCTTTGTAACCCTGGTTAACACTAATAAAGCCATCTAGCCCCAGGCATTAAAAAAGAGGAGTTACCCTCCCAGAAACCCACAGGGGCAGTTCTACCTGTCCTAGAGGGTCGCTGAGTCGGCAGAGACAGTAGCAGTGAATTTTGAGTTCTGTCCCCATCCTCCCAAGGAGGAACCTGGGTGACCAAGGTCACACAACTTCTCGTGTGGCCCTCAAGGCTGCCTGGCCTCAGAGCCCAAATCTGTGACTCCCAAAGGCTCTCAGGACAGAGGGGTCCGAGTTGTAGAGCGTCTCCACAATCAACAGTCAAGAAATCAATCGCCCTATTGCACCGGGCAGATCTGCTGCAGACCTCTTTAAAGCGTTACCTGAGCAAGGATGTCATTCTGAGGGCCAAGGTGTGCCTGGCTTTAGCCGTGGTGTGTTCTGTTGTCTCGTACGCACTGTGGACTCGGAAGAAGGGGGTTGTGACGTGTCATTGACGAATACTGGCTTTATCTTGGGGAGCCAGGTCCGGTGTGTTGTGGACACTGCTCCTGAGAACCGAGGATGCTGGGACTGTCTCTCCCATGCTTGGGACCTGTGACCAGGAGGTGGACCCACAATGGGCTCAGGCACAGTGACTGTGAAGCAGGGCCAGGGAGTGTGCCTTTGTGTGGCACAAAGGGTCCCCCAAGCCAGAACCGACTCGATGCCACCCGCCAACAAGCCATCGCCGCCACCTCCTCTCCTCTCAGTCACCAACCTCGGGCTCTGGGCTGTCTGCTGTGGAGGGAACCGGTGGATGGACAGACAGGAGGTGGGGACGCCAGGGATGGATCCCCGGGTTTTGACCATGTCCACAGCAGTACAGCAGGCATAAGAGCTTGGCTGCCTGGCCCCACTGGTTCCCCAGCACACTGCCCCCACCTCGAACCCTCCACCTCCCAGCTCTTCCACTTGGCGTGGGCAGCCTGTCCCACCCGCCTTCTCATAAGGCGCACATTACCTAGGCAAACTGAGCAGCTCGGAGAGAAACAGACCCAGAAGACCCCAAGACATCAGAGTTAGTGCATGGCCACTTGTGACCCAGGATTCCCTGACCAGCTGCCCAGAGTCCCTGGGGCCTCAACCTCTTCCCACCCCGGCAGTCCCACCTTCTTGCCTCCCCTGCCTGTCCAGCCTGGGTTCCTTCAGCTGCAGACACCCAGAGCCTCCCCTCCTGCACTCCACTCAGGGCTGGTCAGCCAAACCCGCCCACTTCCGGGCTGCTCCCCCAGTCATATCTCTCTCCTTCCTTCCTAGGTGGGTCATCATACTTAACCCCTACTTTTCTGAGCACCCACGCCCAGAGTGGCATGCGTATGATCAGTAGCCCATTTATCAGCAAAGAAAACTGAGGCTTAGAGAAATGAAGGAATTTGATGCCACTTTGGGCTGAATCCAGACCCCATGGTGTCCCGGGCCACCCTTCACTGTAGCCTCAGATACCCACCCCGCCTAAGTGCACATGGGGTCAGCAGGTACGGTACTCGGCCATTAAACCCACTGCCAATGAATTAATTCCAACTCCTGCTGATAACGAAACAAAACAAGAAAACTCACTGCCACTGAGTCGATTCTGAATCGTGGGGACCCTGTAGGTCAGGGTGGAACCGTCTCTGGGTTTTCAGTGTTAACTTTTTGTTTGTATTGGCTCATACAGCTCTTATCACTGTCCATACATGCATCCACTGTGTCAAGCACATTTGTTGCCCTCATCATTCTCAAAACATTTGCTTCTACTTGAGCCCTTGGTATCAGCTTATTTCTCCCCTCCCTCCACTCCATCATGAACCCTTGATACTTTATAAATTATTGTGTCATGTCTTACACTGTCCGACGTCTCCCTTCACACACTTTTCTGTTGTCCGTCCCCCCGGGAGGAGGGTATATGTAGATCCTTGTGATTGGTTCCCCCTTTCTACCCCACCTTCCCGGTATCACCACTGGCCCTGAATTCCCTGTGTTTCCAGTTCCTATCTGTACCAGTGTACATCCTCTGGTCTAGGTGGATTTGTAAAGTAAAATTGGGATCATGACAGTGGGGGTGAGGAAGCATTTAAGAACTAGAGGAAAGTTGTGTTTCATTGTTGCTACACTGCACCCTGACTGGCTCATCTCTTCCCCATGACCCTTCCCTCCCCATGACCCTTCCCTAAGGGGATGTCCAATTGCCTACAGATGGGCTTTGGGTCTCTACTCCGCACTCCCCCCTCATTCACAATGATATTTTTTGTTCTTTGATGCCTGATACCTGATCCCTTCGACACCTTGTGGTCACACAGGCTGGTGTACTTCTTCCACATGGGCTTTGTTGCCAAGAGCATAACTTTATGGGAGGAGAAAGCCTCAACTTTCTCCACTGGAGTGGCTAGTAGTTTCAAACTGCTGACCTTGTGGTTAGCAGGCTAAAGCACAACTACTACAGCACCAAGGCTCCAACTTATGTTGATAAAGTCTCCTTGGCCCTCGGTGGGGCTGTTTCCTTTGGCATGCCCTCCCCTCTCCTCCCGGACAGTCACCAGGCCCTGCTGGCCCATTGTGCTTTCTCTTCTGCTGCAGCGTGCTCTGGCCGGGCCCCCAGCACTAGCCTGGCTTCTGGGGGCTCCAGCTCCTGTCCCCTTGAAGCCATGGCTGGGCTTCCACTCTGGGGCCTTCTTGAAGGCCCGAGAAGCAGTCCAGGGACAGAAGGACAGTGGCCAGGGGAGGACCTGCTTCCCCAGGAGGGACAGCAGCAGATGGCTTGGACAGCTGGTCTTCGGAACCTCCCAGCCTCAGAAGCAAAAATCCCCTGCTCAGGTTCCGGCTCAGCTCCCCTCCCAGCTCCCCTCCCAGCCCGTCTGGCGGCGCTCCACAGGGAGGTGGCCTTGCTGGGCGGGGATGCAGTGAAGGCAGCTCCAGGGTCCTTGGTAGGTGCAGCCCCAGCCAGCGGACCCTTCCCCACGAGATGAGGCTCGGGCTAGCGGGCTCTGTCTTCCCTCTGAGAGCAGGCTCTGGTTCCCCATGGTTGCCCTGGCGGGTGGGGCTGGTGGTCCAGGCCCACCAGCTGCTGCGCAGCCCTAGGAAGGCCGCTCCGAGATGCAGCCCACTGGATGGCAGTGGGTTTGGGCTGATCCCTGGGAGATCACCAGCCCTTTCTTTGGGGGGGGAGGGGGGACCGGGATGGACTCAACCCCGCAGCCTCAACTGTCTGCACACACGCCCCTCCCCGCACCCTGTCCCCCTTTCTGTCACAGGCATAAGCCGACTGCCATTATCGAGGTGATTCTGATGCATAGCGACCCCACAGGAGGAAGATGGAAGAGAAAGCCTTGTCTCTCTCGGAGCAGATGGTTGGCTTGAATACCCGACCATGTGGTTAGCAGCTCAATGTATAATCCCTCAGCTTAAAAACCAGTTCCCTGCGATTGGACCGATGCTGACTCCTCGTGACCCGACAGGACAGGACAGAAGTGCCCCTCTGAGTTTCCGAGACTGTAACCATTCACAGGAGTAGAAAGCCCCATCTTTCTCCAGAGTAGCGGCCGGTGGTTTGGAACTGCCGATCTGCAGATTGCAGCCCAACTCATAACCACTACGCCAGGGCCATGTGCAAGCCAGAGGATCTTTTATGCTTTTAAGAACATGACCATTACAACTCATTCTCTTTGCAGGAGATACTAAATGACATTGCTTTTGTCAGTTTAACCACACCGAATAGGGGGGGCAGTCTTTCCCTCCTGGTCATTAGTAACCATGGTTACCAGGCACGCAGCCACAGCTGGGCTGGTCACTGTGCAGCCCTCCACTGCCCTGGGCATGACTGGAGCCCACGCCCTGGATGAAGGGGCTGGGACTGGCTTTGTCTTGGGAGGCATGTACATCCCGGTGCTGACCACGCGCTGCTCCCACCTGGGGGAGCCAGCCAGGTCTGCTCCTGCTTCGTTGGGCTGCTGAGGTCAGGTGACACGTCAGCCAAACTGCTGCCGGAGCTGCTGGTCTCTGGGCGGGCAGAGCAGAGGTGCAGGGCAGCTCAGCCTGCACCCAGCTGCCTGGGTACCTGTGTTTCTGTCATGTCTTTGTGGTGGGCAGTCAGGAAGCACCGCGCACGGCAGGGGTTCCTGAGGGGTGGGGTGGGAAGTGGGGGCAGGGTGGCCCACCCTGGGCAGGGCTGAGGCGGTCGCTGTGTTTCAGACAGGAATTCCAGGCCTGGACCGGAGCGACGCCCTCAAGAGCCTCCAAGGCGAAGCCAGCCACGGTCATCACCACCCACAGCTCTGGCTGGGACAGTGGCCTTGGGGCTGGCTTCCAGGTCAGCAGGAATAAGGATGGGGCAGAGGCCGCAGCCAGCTTAGGGTCTTAGAATCCCCTGTGGATAGTGCACCGAGGTGGGGTGGCCAGGGGACAGCCATGACAGAAAACCAAGAGCCTTCTCAGTGCTGGCCTGGTCTTCCCCTCTGAATTGCCAATGGACGTTGGTGACCTCAGGGGAGGGGGCCGGGGGGAGAGATTCGGGTACGAGAAGATGGAAGGAGGGGTGACCAGTGCAGCTACGAGAAGATGGAAGGAGGGGTGACCTTCCAAGAATGGAAGGTCCCTTTGCCACCCTATCCACTGGGGGCACCCCCCCCCCCTGTTCACTGGAGGGCACGCAGGAGCCTGGGAGGAGGGCCCCTTGCCCCCACGCCCACCCCCGGCACTGGCGGGAGGAATGGAGGGAGGGCTTGCTGACCATGGTGTCTGTCCTTTCAGGTCCCAGAGGTGAGCACAAAGTTCACCCCCAACCCTTCGGCCATCTTCCAGGCCCCAGCTCCTCGGATTCTCAACGTGTGACCAACCCACTGGCAGCGCCTTGGAGCGGGGCAGCGGCCTGGCTTGGCTGAGGCCAAGGGCTATTTATAGACTCCTGCTGGCAGGCCACCCCGCCACAGCCCCTCCATTCTCCCTGGAGGATCCATGGAGCCCTTGGTGCTGGAAGCCCTCCCCTGCGGTGACCTCTGGCCTGCAGGATACTGCTCTGGGAGGGCAGCAGCTGCAGCAGCAGGCACTTGTTGCCCCCCCTCCTCCCTGCCCCCCATGCATGCGTAGCACTGTAACCTAGGCAACCCCAGGGGATGCCCTCCACAGAAGAAACAGCTCAGGGCATCACCTGTGTATCTCGTGGTGCCGATGGGGGTGGGGATGGTGGTCCCATTCCACATAGCCCTTCTCTAGGCCGAGAGATCAAGTCTGCACAGAGCATGTCTTGGGACCAGTGTCTAACCACTGCACCCCACACTGGACTGACACCCCACTCCACACCCCCTAACGCTAGAAGTACTACACACGCCAAGATTGGGAGCTTTGGGGAAGGGGTAGCATCTGCCATAGTCCCAGAGAGACCTTAACATGTCATTTAAACCAACCTACAGCGCCCCTTGCCCACCCCGCTGGAGGCGGGGGCTCACCCCTTCTGGGTCACTCCACCGGCCTGCCTTGCCTGCCACGGCCCCAGCAAAGCATTGGGCTCTTTGTAGACAGGTCCCTTTGGGTCTCTACCCTTCAAACCACAAGCCCACCTGCTGTGGGAGACCATGGAGGGGGCTTCAGCTAGCCCCTCACTGCACTCTAGGCGGGCGGGGCGGCTCTGCCAGCTTCTGGACTTGATGTCGTCCCTCCCTCCAGCAGAGGACCCTTCCCAGGGAAAACAGAACGCACAACGGACTCTTATTCAGACTCTACTGATTTGCATGTTGAGTGTTTTTGAGATGAGATGCCCGCTGGGCCTCGTGTGGGAAATGAAGATGAACCGCTTAAGCTCCAATTTTACTAAAATGCCAGAAACGTACCATCTCCTTTTCCGATTCTTCAAATGAATGAATGATCCACACGAGAGCAGACATGCTGGTCTCTCGGTAAGGACTTTGCGGTGCTGTGGTCACTGCCACGGTCCCTGGGGGCCACCGGGTCTACACCGGTATGGTCAGTGGCGTTTCTGAATCCACCAGAACCCCCTCTCATGGTGACCTCCTCCAGCACCCAGGGGCAAAAGCTAATCTAGGGTCTAAGCCATGATTTCTCTCCAGCAAGCAGGCTGCGCTGTCCTGCTGGGAGTGGCGTGCGCGGCTCTCTGGTGCAGTGCCTGGCACAGGGGGTGCCCATTAAAGCGCCAGTGTTGTTTACTGCCTAAGTACACAGCCACCCTGCCCCAGCTCCATCTGCAGTTCTGGCCGGTCTGCAGGCATCAATGTGTGCTCCCTTATCAGGGCCTGCCTGTGTCAGGCGCACAGCTCAGAGCGCTTCCCCACCAGCCCTGTCTGGAGAGCCCCTCAGGCCTTTGCCGTCGGTCCTACCTGCCTTCCTGGGCCCGCCTGGACAGATCAGGCTGCCCTCCCTGGCAGTGTTGGTGCTAGGAAACAACACTGCACAAGGTGGCCTGGTTCTTGCAAGGGGCACCATATGGGGTCCTGAACAAGACCGGCTCTCTCACCCACTCACTACTCACGGTTTTTCTTGCATTACTCCTCGGCAGTCCCAAACCACCAGTGCTCTGTGGGAGGGAAAACGGGCTCTTTTCTCCTGTAGAGTTAGTCTCGGAATCCACGGGGCAGCAATTCCACCACCCTCCTAGAGGGTGGCTATGAGTCAGAGCCGGCTCCATGGCAGTGGGTTTGGGTCACATCACCACCCTCCGCAGCAGAGACAAGTCTCACTGGGCCCAGTCCACACTGCTATCCTTAAAGCAGACAGAAAAGCAGTAAAGTATAGCTAACTATGCCGGGAAAGTGGGCTGTGGGTCAGCTCCCAGTTGCTAACTGAAAGGCGGCTCAGTGGGAGGAGGACGGGGCATCGGCAAAGAGGGTGAAACTTCGGTCTCTCCTGTGCTGGAGTCAGAATGGAAATGACAGCAGTGGGTTGGGTTTTGGTTAGATACTTGCTGCAAGTTTATATACAATAAACATGTTTGTACTAATTCCATAAATAAATTAAAAACAAAAAAAACAAACCCAAACTATTTCAAGTTGTTAGTTACTGTCAGCCAAATGGTCACCATGAGCCTGGACGCACAACCAGAGTGAGTGTTCTCAAGCGTTAACTCTCAAGCATCAGACTAGTTCACAGAGAGGTTACCCCTGTACAGGACAGGACGAGTGACCAAGAGCCTGGTGCACCAAGGTCCTTCCTGCGGCAAGTCCAGGTGCTCAGTCCCACCTCTGCTGTGGTGCAGAAGGCCAGGGCGTTAGCACAAACCCCAAACAGTAACGTTTGAGAAAAGCTGGACCCTGTGAGCCCCACCCACCCTAGGAAGAGGGCACCTGGGCTCCAGGTTCTGGGGGGAAGGGACGTAGCCGCTCGGGGCCTGCTCTGGGGCTCCTGGCTGAAGGCGCGAGGCCTGCCCAGCGTCCGTCTCCAGACAACGCAAGCTTGCACTTACATGAAGTCGGACCTCAAAGATAGTCCCGGAGGAATTCCTGCAGGAACCCTGCTTTGCCCTTAGCTCACGCTGGGGCTTGATGGAGTGGTCACTGTGGACATCTTCCATCATGTTTAGTCTTTAAGACACATGATGGTCCAACCCAAGGACTTGCAGTAGAAATGAATTGTGGGTCACAGCACAGGCCCATCTGCTTCAGCAGGTGAACCAGTAGTGTGGGTTCTGGTTGGTGGAAGGGCCATCTCCTCTCTGCCTGGCTGGTGCCGGGGCAGGGGACAGGAATCTCATGTTGTCAGAAATCCTTCTTTCCAGGGTTGGTACCGTTTCTTCCATGTTTTGGTTTCAGATTTTTGTCTGTTTCCCAATCCAGGAACCTCAGAAAAACCCATCACATATATTAAAAGGTTTATTGTAGACATTTGGTTACACAGTTATGTTACACGTTATGATACAGCACAATGGAAACATTAAAAACACATAGGAGCTGTTAAATGACTGGATACTTAGGACTTCATCGTCGTCGTCAAAGCTGCAATACAGGAGTCTGCCTGCAGGGGGAATCCAGGCTCCCGTCCTCTAAGCCCGTCTAAGGTGCACTTGCTGGCTGGGCCTATTTTGCTCGGGGCAGTTCAGACACAGACTGTCGGGGGTCTTTACATCCTAAACCCTCACGTCCTGCTGAACCCTACCCTCTGCACATGCAGCCCTCAGCTGTGGTGCCCCCCCAGCCACCTCCTGCCTCGTGGAAGCTGAACCATGCCACACGAGCACATCACTCACATCACTCGGCTCTCAACAGAGGAACAAGATGCGCACCCAGGCTTGATTCTTGTCAGACGCCGTTGGCAGGGCAGGAGGGCACCCATGCCCCTGTGTCGGGTCTGGGCAGTCACCCCTCTACCTCTAAGGCACTCACAGGCATTTCTTTTAAACACTTTTCTTCTTATGAAACATCCCTTGATGGAGACCGGGGCGCCGAGCCCATGTAGCACAAACGACCCCAGCAGAGCTGAAGCCCGGCCCTTGTCTGCTACCAGCACCAGCCCAGCCTCCTGCTTGGGGTCTCAGCAGTGAGCCCCGGCTCAGCTTGTAGTACCCTCGGTGGACCCTGTGAGCCCGTTCATGGGTGGCACCTCTCCTCTCGGCCACTCCGTGGGCCAAGGTGCAGGCTGGCCAGGGTCAATGCGGGCCAGGTGCCAGGGTTGCTGTGGAGGGGACCTGCAGCCCCAGCCTGCAGCCCAGGGACGCTCCTGTCACCACAGTCTGTCCTGGAGGTCCCTTGGGGGGTGGGGGCGTGTTACAGACAGCACAAGCTGTGCTCCAGAACCAGGAAGCAAATGTCAAGCCTCAAGGCAGCCCCCCGGGAGGCGCGCTCTGGTGGTAGGAGGCAGCGAAACAGGCTCGCCGTGTCCCCGCCCACCCCACCCTGGTGGCACCTCGCTCACTGGTCCTCGGTCAGCACCCCCATGTGCTTGTTGGTGAGGAAGTCCAGGGAAGGGCTGCTGCACAGGGCCTGGTGGATGTCGCTCACAGTAATCTCTCGGGGAACCCTGCTGGGGAAAGGGGGGATCAGGTGCGTCTAGCAATTTCACCACAACACCCAAGGAGGCATCCCTTACCTGGCCCTGCTGAAGAGACAATGGGGAGTGGGGTCCCTTAAGAAGGGGTGGGGCGGCCGAGCATGTCCCCCACCCCCGCTGTGTTCCTCTTCAACACAGCCTGCTCGCAGTCACAGCAAGGCCTGCCCCAGGCTCAGTGCCCACTGCCCACTCACAGCATGACAGGGTCAAGGAGATGCCTCTGGTCAGGAAAAGACTGCAAGGACCGAGGACAGAAGTGAGTGGACAGAGCCCTATTTGTAATTCAGACGTAGCAGACGAAAGCCGAGTCAAAGCACCGCACAAGTCTGGGGCCACATTTCCTGACTGGGGAGGGCAGGAGGTGGCACTCTGCCCCGCTACGCGTGCCCACCGACGCATTCCGGCCGCCCCTCCCCAGAGCGGGCCATGGGGTGAAGCAGGACCCGGAAGGCAGGCAGCACACTCGCAGGCTTCCAGCAGGACAGGAAGTAAAATTCCAGAAAGACCTCCTCTATTCAGTCTACATTTTTTATTCCCACCCAGCCTAATGTTCATCGGACTGAGGCCTGCTCAGGTCGGCAGGCCCTCGGTGACCACATTAGAAATCTACAATAGCCCTTCCTTATCAGAGTGGGATGCCGGGATGTGGGGAACGCCTACCCAGCATTCCTCCCAGGAGTTCAGTGGTTCAGCACTGGGCTGCTAACCGCAAGGTCAGTGGTTCAAAGCCAGCAGCCCCTCTGTGGGAGACGGCGTTTTCTACTCCCATAAAGATCTGAGGTCATGGCAGGCAGTGAGTTAGGGTCTAGAGAAAGAATTAGATTCTGGGGCCTGTACAATGACAAGTAGGAGCTGTAGGCTTGAGAGCCAAGGAGCACTGGGTGTGAATCCAGGTTCTACTGCTATTTGCTGGGAGAACCAGGTAAAATTACCTTCCACGGCTCAGTTTCCTAATTTCTAAAGAGGCAATGTGAACACGAATGATAGTAATCAGGAGAAGTAAATTAGGTAACGTAGTAAAACCTGCGTAGGGCAGAATCTTGTCAGAGAGGGAAAGGGACGATTTCCCACTAGCAGCGTGGAGTGGCGCAGGACAGCGGTGCAGGGCCCCCATGCCTGACATGGCGCAGGCACTGCTGTGAGCTGTCCTGCGAACAGCTGGCCTTTGTTTGTCGAGCCTGCAGCTGCGGGCGTCTTTGGAGCAGCGATGTGGCAGCAGGCCGCAGGCACAGCCGAGATTCCCCGAGACTGTGTGGCCGAGAATTGCTCCAGAACGGGCAGTGGCTTGATGCAAGCATCCAACCTCTCAGCGGACACCCGGGCTTTGGGGAAAGCCCTCTAAGCCCGGCCCCACTGACCTGTTGTGCGACGCTGTCTGGTATCCGATGGCCAGCGCCTGCCTCAGGATGTCGTTCACTAGCTGCTCCGTGGCCTGCAACAGAAAACGCGGTCATCCCAAGGCTGTTGCCTGCTCACTGCCTCACCCCACCCCCGACAGAAACCCTTCCGCAGGAACGAAGGTCTGAAGAGGCTGGACTGGCATGCCTCGGCCCTGTGAGCAGCCAGGGTGGCCATGTGGTGTCCCCCAGCTGGAGGGTCATACAAGTAAAATTTGGCAAAGAGCATTCAACCATGGTTGTGGGAGCTGCCACAAATGCAAGCAAGATTCAGAAGAGGATGGAATAAGAGACATCACCGCTGATGTCCAATGGATCCTAGCTCAAAAAGAAGGACTAGGAAAATGTTTTATTGTGTTTCACTGATTTCCTGATTTCTCTATTAGATTATGTGAATTATAATCAACTGTGGATAGCATTGAGGAAAACAGTCATTCCAGAGCACTGCACGGTGCTCATGTAGATCCTGCATACAGACCAAGAGGCAGTAGTGTGAACAGAATAAAGGACTATCGCATGGTCTAAAATCAGGAAAGGTAGGAGTTAGAATTTTAGGAGCTCCGAGCTGGGGCAGGGCAGCCACGGGGGCTCTGGCTGGGATAGGTGGAGATGATGGACCGAGGAGGCTCTCTGCCCTTGCCGCCTCCCTGAGGCAACGAACACTGCCCCCGTTATGAAACATCTGCCCTGGCACCAAGTGATACCTCTCAGGCAGTGGTTCTCAACCTTCCTCATGCCACCACCCTTTCACATAGCTCCTCATGTGGGGGTGACCCCAACCATACAATTATTTTCGTTGCTACTTCATCACTGTCATTTTGCTACTGTTATGAATCAGGTGACCCCTATGAAAGGGTCATCCGACCCCCAAAGGGGTTGCAACCCACAAGTTGAGAACCGCTGCTTTAAGGTGTGGAACACAACTTGTGTAGATGCTTCAATATTCAGGGGAAGGGGCAGGAGGAAGCACGAATTAAGTCTCAGAGGAGAGGTCCCGTCGGCGGCAGCGCCCACCCACCTTGACGATCATGTCCTCCACCACGGACGCACACACGCTCCTGTGCAGCAGCACCGGCTGCAGCGTGATCCCGATCTGCAAGAGCAAGCGGCCTCCTCAGTGCCCACGTCGTCTCCAGACAAGCCAACACCCTCCGGGCCACGGCAATGCCTGCTGGGAAGGGGGCTGCGCACATTCTGGACAAGTGCACAGGCAGTTTCCGCCGGTTTTCCCTTCTCTGGCTGAGTGTGCAACACGTACGCCCATCCTGCTTGTGCCCCCAGTCTCTCTCATGGCCAGGGCTTGTCTGGAGTACAGAGTGAGCGGGGTCAACACCAGGGAGCCTCAAATAAGCTCCTAAGGCCGTTTGTGAGGAGGTGAGGGGGGCATACTTGGGGCCGGCATTTGCACACACAAGCCCTCACCCCCCCACCCCACCCCAGGTGCCAAGCATGCTGTCTCCACTCCGGGTCCTGGGGAACGTTGCAGCAGCAGGTGCTAAGCTGCAACGTTCCACAGAGGTGGGGACAACCTATGCTTTGTCGCAGAAAGGTGGCCTGTGCCGCCCTCACGCACACCACAGGCGGGGCGGCTTGGACACTGGAGAGACGCCAGGGAAAGGTTACCCTCCGAAGGAAATACCGTGGAAACATCCTGACATGCTTCACAAGAAAAGGTGTTTTTCTCCTGAGCAAATGAGGGAGGTGAAAGGAAACAATGAAACAAATACCCCCACCTTATGTAGCTGCCCTGGCTCCAGTAGATGCCCGATGAGCAACCCGCTCACAGGTCATCACCGTCCTTGCCAAGGGCCTGCAGTGGGCAGCCTGTGTCTACAGGGGACTTCTGGGACCCAGCAGGTCACCCGTGCACGTCATGCGCCTGACTTGACCCAATCTATGACCTCTCAACTCCAAAGCCACGGCCCCTACCTTCTGTGTGATGTCACCGATAAACTCAGAGCCCGGCGTGGGTGGCAGGCAGAACTTCACTTCTTCCTCTTGCTCGTCCTGCTCTTTCTTGATGCTTCTCCTGACCGGCTCGGACAGGTTGAGAACATCCACCTCCTCCTCCGTCTCGGGCTCCCGCTTCTGAAACTGCTGCAGATCCTCCAGTTTCCGGCAGAGGCTGTCAGCAGAGGACAGCGACGACGGGCACTCTGAACGAGACAAAGCCAACGGCCTGAGGACCAGAGAGGAGGGCGAGGACCACCCAGGGGGCTGGCCTGCTTCCCATCTGGGATGAGGAGGCCTGCCACCACACGAGGACGCACGTCCGCTCAGTGCAACCTGAGACTAAGCGGACGGCACGGGATTCTGACTCTGCTCTGGAAATGCAGGCCATCCCACAGCCCGAGCAACGACTCCTGGATTTTTCCTCACACGTTCAAACCCGTCTTTCTGGGACACGTTGAGTGAGGCTGCCTGTAAAGGAGCCGAATGAGACACACGCAAACTGCAAAGCCCTGGGCACCCGCTAGTCCCTCCCTTTCATTTTCTGGATGAACAGGAAGACAGGAGATTTGTGGCACAGTGGTTACACGCTGGGCTACTAAACAAAAGGTCAGCAGTTCAAAATCACCAGCAGTTCAATGGAAGAAAGAGGAGGCTTTCTATTCTCATTGGGTTACAGTCTTGGAAACTCAAAGAGGCATCGACTGGGTGGCAGGGAGTGAGTGGGCTACCATGTAGCCGTCCACGTCCCTTACAGCATCGCTACTTACTTTCAGATGTGCCCCCAACACGGGGCTGCATACTCGCAAGCAAGATCGGTTTTGGAGACAGAGCTAAGATAGTTCCCACCTTCAAAGAGATGGATGGTACTTCAAAGGTCAGAGGGAAGGGGCAGTCCTTTTTATCTTGGGGCACGAGGTGAGTTAGGCCGGCCCTCAGGGTGCCCGGTGGGTGGCCCAGTCCGGCTGGGGCACTCATAGGCCCTCCACGTGCTCAGAGCTCTGAGGTCTCCCAGGGGCTCACCAGGCTCACTGTCAATGCGCGTCAGCACATCCTCGATGGTGTCCCCGTCGCTCCGCAGGCTCTCAGGGTCAGGGGGCGTGTAGCCGTGGCAGCGACACCAGTGAGCAACGTGCTTCGTTTTCAGGGGCGTCAGGTGGTGAAATCGTGAGTTCCGCTCCAGGATTTCTTGTAAGACTTTTCGTATTGTCATTGCTCTCTGCCACTTAAAAGGAAAGGAAAACTTTTGGAATCATAAGTAGATCTTTCAGCTTAACAGCCGTATGCCGAAACACATCCACACACTAACTTGTTAGAATCATTTTTGATTGTCTAAAGAAAAAAGCATGACTGTGGTACTCCTTGGTTTTCATTTCCTCTTGGTGGGCGGCTAACTGCCAGGTGGGTGGTTCAAGCCCACTAGCTGCTCTATTGGAAAAAGATGAGGCTGTCTGCTCCAGGAAAGTTTCAGAGCCTCAGAACCCCCTTATCGGATCACTGAGAGTTGGAATGGGCCAGGTGGCAGATTTAAAAACTAACCCGAGTGGTTCGGTTCTTCCCCCCACAGGTTCTTGGCAGTGGCCTGAGCACCAAAGGGCAGGGGTGGGCTTACCTCCGCCGCTCTCCTCTTCCCAATGTTCCAGCTGTAATACTGCTCCAGGGACTTTGCAGAGAAACAGCTGGCGTCTTCACCTGGACGACACACATTGACAAAGTGAGGGAGGTGGCCAACTCAACGAAACCTTATCTGCTGGCGCTGCGTCCAATCGCTTCTTCAGATTCCTCTACTGGACACTCATGTTTTAAGTGGTGTCATGGCAGGGCTAAGGTGACATCTTGGGTAGAGAGGTGACGGTGATGCACCGCTATGGCCACGGAAAGCCGGGCCAAGGTCACCACACCACTCTCAGAGCCCGGCGTCCTGGCCCCCAGCCCAGGCCCGGCTGCAAACTCTCCGAGGCCGCGGGCAACGCCTCACCTCTCAGGGCTTCTGCTTCCTCCTCTCTACAGCAGCGGTTCTCAACCTGGGGGTCAAACGACCCTTTCACAGGGGTCAACTGATTCATCACAGTAGCAAAATGACAGTGATGAAGTAGCAACGACAATAACGTTATGGTTGGGGGTCCCCACCACGAGGGACTGCATGAAAGGGTCGCGGCCTGAGGAAGGTTGAGAACCACTGCTCTACAGTGTGCAAGCTGGGAAGTTTCCGAAGTCCCTTCCAGCTCTACAATTCTGTATTTGTAGCTGCAGCTGAAAGGCTGCGGGGTGAGCCTTGGCCAGCAGTGCTGGGGCTCAGTGGTCCTGGCACCATGGACGCTGAAGTGGTGAAGTGGGTGCCCTCAGACAGGTGCCTCTCCACTGCCAATGAGGCCCCATGAAGCTCACTCTGAACTGCCTGGAGTGATCCCTTGAGACTAGTTTTCTTGGTTCAAAGGTTTAGGATCCTGGCTGGTGGCTTGGCCCAGGCTGACCTACGATTGTTTTCAGAGTTTCTGTTCCACCTACTTGTTCACCAAGGAGTGCCTGGGGCCTAGGAACTTGTTTGAGGCTACCTGAGACATACTGATTGGTCTCCATTCACCTGGAACCAGAGAGGAAGGAGACCCGGGAATCTGAGCAGGAAGGAAGTGGACTGCAGGCCTTACCCACTGCCTCCATGAGACCAGAAGAAAGGGCTGGTCCTTGAGGACCCAATAGATGGACACGGATTCGAAAGAGGAGAATCGCTTCCAATGCTCCTGAGATCCAGATTCATATGCTGAGGCTGGAGGAAGCTCTAGATCTAGTGCCTGAAACCGACTTTCAAACCTTGAGCCTGATTACTCCTCCGAAAGCAGCATATGAATCAACTGACGACAACAGACAGCATGCTCCTGGCCACCCCGTCGGGGCCGAGTCACAGTGACCACACAGGGCAGTGTGGGACTTCACCTGCGAGTTTCCAAAACTGCAGCTGTGCTGAGTCGAGAGCCCTGCCTTCCTTCCTCCCCTCCCTTTGAGTGGCTGGTGTTTTCTAACGGTGGGCCTTGCGGCCCGCAGCCCAATGCCTAGGCACTCGGCCACCGGGGCTTCCCTCAGAGATGCGCCCAGTTAAAGTGTCTGCCGAGAGCACTGGCTTCGGGCCAAGACTCCTGCGGAGCTGCGGGGACACAGAGGGGATCTCGACAGGGCGGTCCGTCCAGCCAGTGGTGAGCAAGCACTGGCGGAGCAGAACGGGGATATGGTGCACGTTCCCAGCCTCGCGGCCGTGCGGTTAAGAACGGTGGAGAAGGCGCACATTGTGCTGTGTCTACTTTTACCCCCACCTCCCAACCCCCCTGAATTTCACCCGAAAAATAGGGCTCCTTTACTATTACAGTTGGCAAAAGTCAGCCCCTTCGTCTCTACCTGCTCTATCAGGCTCACGTGCCCATCGAGGTAAGCACTATGATAATCTGCGTTGGCCTCCATTGGGCTTGACCTTGTCTCAACACCTGTGTGATGCCGAGCTTCACTTCCAGTTCCTCCAGCCACCATCACCAGAGACTGGCACACGGCAGACGGTAACTACTTACCAGCAAACAGGAAACCCAACGCAGAGCTTTAATCACATACACAGCAGGCTTATGACTTCGACGAAAGAATAAACATCCTTTGCTCACAGCCAACACAGGGAAAACAATGAAAGGCTAGTGAACATTCAAATCCCCGTAGATAAGCTAGTCGTGCTTCTGGCGAATAACGACCATGTGACTCTGAATTTAAAATACAGTATCACGTGGTTTACGCTGCATCAATACCCCCGTCCTTCACAGGTGGAGAGAGAGGTATCTGCACCTGCGTTCAGGGTACAAGTGTCTTACTTTTTGCTGTGATTAACGGGATCTTCTTCGCCACTGCTGTTAAGAGCTGCTGGATGGTTTCTAAATGGTCTATCCTGAAGAGAGGAGGAGCAAACGTCAGCACCACACACTGCACTCCCACGGCAGCATCTAGTCACACAAGCAAAGGGCCTTCAAAGAGTTCGTGGGAACGGCAGGTAAGAGTGCCTTTTTCCCAAGGCCATTTTGAAGCCCCCCGTATTGTATTTGTGTTTATTTCCCCTTTCCAGGAAATTGCGACTTCGCCAGCTCTACTGCCATGACCTCCTTTCCCGGGTCTTCCTGATAGACGAGGCGCGCTAATGAAAAGGGACTCACCTCGGCTCAGCAAAGCGACGAGGCCACGTGTGCAAATGCCACACCGGCAGTTCATCGCTATTCTTTCCTTGCGTAGCCACACAAACGTTATCTTTAGAGTGACTGCGACTGGAGCAGAGAAATGCTCCCCGGCTGACGCCTCTTGGGGAGGTTACAGTTCATGCCTCTCTGTACTGTGTGACAACGGCTTTGTCTCTAATGTTCCTAGCAGCCTGAGAAGTCTCTGGGGTCAGGGCTGAGTTCTCCTTCGGGACATTAGAAAAACCTCAGGAAGCATTTTCCCATGAAGCAATGAGTGTGGGCGGCCCAGCAAAAGGCAGCTGGCGTGTCAGACACAAGGTGTGTACACACCGAAGTAATCGAATTCCGAAACCCAAGTGCACTCTGGCGGCTTCAACTAGAGGGGACCTTGCAGCGTGCAGAGACACACAGCAGTGCCGCCCACGTGTACCACCAGGCTCTTCACCTATGCTGAGGTGGTCAGTGCTCGCCGCACGTGGACTGAAGGTCTCCAGGGGCTTACCTCTAACGCACAACGCTACCCACTGTTACCCGTACGCAGCTCAGGCATGGTGGGGTTCAGTGTTTTTCCTTCCTTCCTTTTTTTTTTTTAAGGCACAGTGTTAACAAAGCACCCTAAAGACACCCAGCGCAGAACTCCTGTAGAAAGGACTGAGATAATTACTTAATGATATAGTTTCCCAGCTCAGAACTTTCTTCCGTTTTCACTGCTGTCGGACTCTCCTGAGGGAAGCAGCTTGGCCCAGGTGTTTCGGGTTCGGTCTTCACTATCAGGGAAGAGCAACAGAGAGAACTGTCAGGGTTCAGGACGGAAGGACACGTGCAGCCAGAAACCACGCTCTCCCATGCAGCCCAGGAGCCAAGGGCCACTCCAGCTGTGGCAGACACACAGCGGGGGCCTCAGATGGCTCCTGTGACCACAGGGTTAGTAGACAAGGGAAGAACTGTTAGCCTGGGGGGGGGGGGGGGGGGGGGGGGGGAGGAGCAACTCCAAGCTCATGACAAGACTGGGGCAGTAGAATAGCCTTGTGGAATTTTCCTAAAGACCCACTCACACAAGTGACTGAACAATGAGTGTTGCATGAAGCTGCAGCAGCTGCCAGCGTTGTGTTCTAATATTAGGGTCTTGGGGATGTCATCTCCCCGCTAGCATCCTGCAGCATTTTCTTCAGTGCTCTGAGCCACAAAGCAGAAAGCACCTGCCACCTCTGTTTTGCTTAGGAATTTCCAACCTAATCATTAGTCAGGCTTTCCTATTAGCAAGTCTGTGGGCAGACAGTCATGCTTCTCCCCCTCCTCCCTCCCTCTCTCCAGAGTCTCCTTCAATCAGAACCCCACGACCACTCTCGGGGCTTCTGGACTGCTTCGCCACACGGTCCATCTCATACAGCAGCCCCGAGCCGTGTTCCCAGTGGCCTCTACAGGTCATCTTCTTGCTCCACACCCGAGTGGGTCCACATGCGACAGCCAGTACATCTTACTCCCCGATGCAGACGTGCACACAGTCAAACCCACAAGTCCTGGCTGAGAACTTTCACTTCAGCGCACACCCTGGTTACCTGCACCTCGGACCAGCCCAGTACTCATGCTTCCTGCCAGCCCCTCCTGCCAAAGCCAACTACTGCTCTGCCTGTGCCCACTTTCAGTTACATGTGACTCGGAATCATACTAGAAGACTCTTGTGTGTCAGTATATTTTTAGCTTTTTACCAACAGCATGGCAAAGAAAATTTCTACATACATTTTTGGTGGACCCATGTACCCATTTCCTGGAAATTTTCTCGAACACGGGGCAAATATACATTTCATTTAACCAGAAAATGACCAATGGGTTTCCAAAGTGATGTGATTGATTTCAAGTCCCACCAGCAGTACAAGAGGATTTCCAGTTGCTTCATAGCTGCGTCACATTCCGTGTGGTCAGTTCTTCTCATTCTGTACTGCTTCTGGCACCAGAAGGCGCCCTGGGCGCTGCAGTTGGGCACTGGACAGCGAGCCACAAGGCCAGCAGTTTAAGCCCACGAGTACCTCTGTAGGAGCGGGCTGGGGCTGTCTGCTCCTGTCGAGATTGAGTCTCAGAAACGACCTAGGATCACTGAGTCATTGTCGATTCTGGCCACAGGTGTGAGGATGAGTTGGTGCAATAAAAGTATCCCCCTATTTATCTTATCTGCACTCCTCTGATAACTAATGAGGCTGGAAAAAACTTTACTACAAGTGCATGAGCTCTTTGCATTTTCTTCTTCTGTGCAGCGTCTGTTCACATCTTTTTCCCATTACAACAAAATGAGGTGTCAGTCTTCTTCCTATCAAATGCTGGATCTGAGGCCCCATCTGGTATTCGTATTGCAAGTACCGTCTAGAACAGTGGTTCTCAACCGTCCTAAGGCCGCGACCCTTTCACACAGATCCTCATGTTGTGGTGACCCCCCAACCATAAAATTATTTCCGTTGCTACTTCCTATCACTTTACTACTGTTAGGAATCGGAAAACCCCTGTAAAAGGGTTGTTCGACACCCCTCCTGCCAAGGGGTCGTGACCCACAGGCTGAGAACCGCTGGTAGGCGGTGACTTGACTTTTCCTCTCTGAATGTTCTTGGATGAAGGCAGAACCTCAAAGCTAAAAAGTCACTTAGCAAGCTTTGCATAGGACCCTGATTAAACAATCTTTCCCAAGGCCATGAGGACATCGTCATGTCATCTACTCTTTACTGCTTAGCTTTCACAGGAATGTTTGTTGATGAAGGGGCCAAGGCTCACTGCTATTCATACGGAGTTATCCAATGAACCCCGTGCACAGTAGGTCTGTCAGCTGATACTGTGGTGGTGTGTCTGGCTATACACACCCCAAACATCCCAAATGATCTCAGCAGTTTATCCAAACAATAAACTCACTACCTCCAGTTGCGCTGACTCAGAGGCCCTGTAAAAGGGCAGAAGCAAATCTCCCTAGAGGATTTCCATAGCTGCCACATCTTTCTGGAGCTACCACCAAACTTCTGGCTAGTAGTCAAGTGTTTTAACCACTGTGCCACATGGACTTTCTGCTGATGTAGAAAACTGAGATTTTCTACTCTCTAGATTAACAGACTTGGAAACAGCAAAGGGCAGTTCTACCCACAGGGTTGCTATGGGTCGAAGGGACTTCTTGGCAGTGAGGATTGGGGGCGGGGAGAGGGCGCAATACTGTGCGACCCTGCTCGCTGCAATGAATTACAGTCTGTTATTAAGGGAATTCACATCCGGGATTTTAAACCGCGAATGGGATCTATATATGAGTAAATGCTGCATCTGCAGCTAACTTTCAAGCCACGAACACGGCTTTCCTCCTTTACTCTGTGGAATGAACGGCCCTGACTTTGCGAGTTAAGCCAACCTTGCGCCCTGCACTAAGCCCCAGGGGGCTGCAGTGCAGTCACTACCCGGCACGGAAGAGGGTGCTGTGAGCTTCTTCTGCCGTCTTTCTTTTAGCTTATGGTGTCAGGGTTGGGTTGGCTTCATTAAGAAACGGGGAGATCCTTTTTCTGTTTTCTGTGTGGGAAGGTTTTAAACTATGAAGTCATTAGTTTGAGATAAAAACACTATTCAAATATCATTTTTTCCCCTGGTGTCAGTTTTGGTTGAGATTTTTAGAAAATTTATTCATTGTGCCCAAATTTGTGAGTTTGTCAGTTTACGGCTGTTTCCAGTCTCTTTATTATTCTAACGCCTGTGAAAATCTGTAGTGAAATCCCCCTTCTAATTCTTGATGGTAAAGAGTGTCTCATTGTTCCAATTTTTCCCAAGAAGATTATGATTTTTATTAATCTTTTCTAAGAAAAAGCTTATTTTGCTCTTGGAATTCTCCCTATGGTACATTTGAGTGCTGATTTTCATATGCACCCCACAAAAGTTTTGGTTGTTTTCACTACCATTCAGTTCAAAATATTTTCCAATTTCCCTTATGATTTTTTTCCACTGATCCATGGTCATAGATGTGTTAACTTCATTCCCAACAAGTGGGGAGATTTTATAGTAATCTTTCAGTTCATGATTTCAAGTTGCACTCCACTATGGCTGGAGAACACAGCAGGTATCCATCCAAACCTTTGAGATTTACTAGCCCTTTGTTTATGACCTAGCAGAAAGCCTCTTTGGGGAACCACTTCATGTGCTCTAGACCAAGGGCCCTCAAACTTTTTAAACAGGGGGCCAGTTCACTGTCCCTCAGACCCGTTGGAGGGCCGGACCATAGTTTAAAAAAAAAAAAACACCTGTGAACAAATTCCTATGCATACTGCACGTATCTTATTTTGAAGTAAAAAAACAAACGGGGCAAAAACACCCGGTGGGCCGGATAAATGTCCACGGCGGGTCGGATAAATGTCCACAGTGGGCCCCACGTGGTCTGCAGCGCGTAGTTTGAGCACGCCTGCCCCAGACAAAAGAAACCAATGAGGCAGCTCTGCTTTGTGGATGTAAGCTGCAATCAACTCAGTGGCAATGGGTCTACAGATAACTGCCCTGTCACTCAGCTATTCAACTGGAGAAACGAACACACGTCAACCTCAAAGTCTTGTACATGGAGCCGCACCTTGGAAACAATGTCCATCAACAGGAAAATGAATAAACACAATTTATGATACAGTCAAACAACGTAGGATATTCCCGAGCAATCAACAAGAATGCCTGACACATGCAACAGTGCAGAAAGCCATTCTGTGGAGTGAAAAACCACACACAAAATGCATGTGCTGCTGCTGCTATGTCCGCTCAAAAACAGGCACACCTAACAGAAACCAGAACAGTGGCTGCCTGCAGTGGGTAGCCTTTAACTGGAAGGGGCTTAAGGTGATGGAAATTTCTCTATCGCGAATGGGGGCTGATTACATGGGTTTATACAGTTGTACACTCAATAGAATAGCATATGGTCATAGATATAAACTCTTTGTATTTTGCTATATAAAATTTTACCTCAATTAAAACTGAATACAAACACTATGACCTCAGTTCAGAATTACTTGGCCAAGAACCTGTATGATGTAGACCTTATCAAATGCACCTCCTACTGACCGCACCTGGTCCAGACAGCCCAAAATGCCGTGGCTTGTGTGATCTGTCTGAACTACTCACATCTGCAGCTGGATCGTGAAAAGTCATGGATGATAGGTAAATGAACAGGAATGGCTATACACCAGTAAAACTTTAATGGCAAAAATGGGCATCAGACTTTAGTATCCCATCTGCAAAAGGAAAAAAACTATTTTGAAGCAGACTCAGAATTAGTGATACATGTAAAGCTACAGGACAGGTAGCAGGCACTGTCCACCAGGTAGTTACGAGCATGGATGTTATAGAAGCCATACGCGAACCTCTGATCCACTGCACATCATCGTTTACTCTGGTGGTCAGAATATCCTCCCTACCAACTAGTCACAAGACTGGTCCCTTCTAAACCACATCCCAGAGGAGTCTAATCCACTTGTCTGTCTATTTCTCACTCATGCCCCATGAATCTGTCTCTAGTATTCCCAGCATCAGTCCTGCCCTCTGAGCACAGTCCCACGGCTACAGGTGCTCCATCCATCTTTTCAAATTCAGGTGCTAATCCATGCCCCTTACAAGATTCCTCTCTCCCCACTCCAACCCATATTAGGCATCCTGCATTGAAAAATCTCAGCAAGCATTTTTTAGATGACTTATCTTGAATTATCATTCCCTGCAGTCTACTGCAGCTCTTGTAAACTGGACTCTGAGTTCTTGGAGAACAGAAATGATGCCAGTTTACTTCCTCAACGTCGTGTTGTAGGTTTTTATCAAGTGAGCAATTCAACCCAGGAGCTCGGACTATATGCTTTGCATAAAACTTCAGAGCAACGACCTGTGGAGATCCTACATACCTTTGGCAACAGTTGCTGGAGCAGAGCTGGGGACAACCGGACTTGGGGCCGCCACAGGTAGAATGGCAGGTGACTTGGTGGCAGAGAATGACTGGACCACTGATGACAAGGAAGGTGGCAAAACAAATACAAATGTCATTTTAACAAAACGCTCTGGGCTCCCGGGTGAGGGTCTATATGCTAGGCTACCACTGCCATGATGTCAATTCCGAGTCACGGCGACCCTAAATAGAGTTGTTGAGGCTACAGATCTTCACGGAAACAGATTGCCTCATCTTTCTCCCGTGGAGCGGAGGATGGGCTTGGAACCCCACCAGGGGTCCTTCGTGTTCGATTAAGAGTCCAAAACAACTCTAGAATAAAGGCCAAAGTCCTCTGAAAAAACAATTCCAATTAATCAGCTAAACTCTCATAGGTGCTTAACACCCCTCCCTCCCCATAATGCCTCAACTTTAGAAATGGGCAGCTTTTTAGAAACCAGTGATTGCCTGGGCTCTACTTTCAAGCCCAGAGTTGGCTTTCTACAGCTCAAGGTGAAAAAGCGAGCATCACAACCCCTAGAGGGCGGGCTGTTCCCAACACGAGCCGGACCACCGGAGGGCTGACAGCCCCCACGGCAGGGCTCACCTTTGTTCACAGGCATCAGGATGGTCTGCACGCCTCCAGACGTGTTGACGCTGAGTGGTTTGAGCTGGCTGGGGATTGTCAGGACGGCCTGCTGGGGATTGGACTGGCTGGAGTGAATCTTCAACAACCCTAGAATATGTTAGAAGGCAAGGGTAAGCCGAAGACCAGATGCCTCCTTAGAAATCTTTGCCCTCTTTGGCATTTACATGTTCGCAAGGGAGGAGGTTCTCCGGATAGTCATTTACTCTTTCAATAAAGGAGTTGGAAACATAAGGAAAATGGTGCTACAGATCTCCCGATTAAACACCAATGTAAAAACAATGGTTTCTACAGCAGTTCTACCCCACACCCTCCAGCAATACAGATGTCCACACTGTGATTTCAAAAACTGCCACACTTTTTAAGTAAAAGCCTCTGGCTCCTGATGACCTAAATATTTCCTAAAGTAGTTTCAAATGCTCAGGGCCCATGTTTGTGGGTTCCAATCACCTGTATCTCCTGACGTCATCCCGCACGCCAAACACTTCCACCGGTCTACTCACTGCCACGGAATCAACTGACCCATAGCGGCCCTTCAGCGTTTTCCTCCTCTTTCTCCAAAGATGAGCCGGTGGGTTTGAACTGCAGACTCTGCTGCTAGCAGTTCTACACCTGCCCAACAGCACCACCAGGGCTCCGGTCTTGTAATTTCCCATCTCTGCGCAGCCCTAAATTTCCACACCCCAGCATTTCTTTCTCCATACACCATTTTAGAAAGGGACAGCCTCTTCCACTTTAGGGTTATTTCCATGCCAACACGAAAATGAACAACATCTGAGACACTGTAGGCATCCGTAGAGCTAGTACCCTTCCCCCGACCCAAGTGGCCTTTATTGTGAGAGCAGGGAAGCCAGGCACAAGGGCATACAACGTGAGCTACGAAACACCTCTTCTGGTTCTTTTAATGTTTACATTAATCTTTACAAAGAAGCACACGTATTTTGCTGGCGTTGAGTCTTTAAAATTTGATGTTACTAACTTATGCTTCTTAAAATGCTTACCTACCCTACCCTAATACCGTCTCTTTCCTGTATTCCAGTAGTGTTCTGTTGGTCAGAGAAGTATCCATTATACTATGGTTACACTTTATTTTCTGGAATTAATAAATGCCTTTTTTTCATCTGCTCAGTTTTCTTTCAATATCCAAATCTTTCTCCCTCCTTTAAGAATGTGGCAAACGCCTCACTACAGTTCTCCACACAAGCAAGCTTCTCGGGTAATTTAGTGTTTAGAATTGGGAGAGGGAACCTTCTGGAGTGTGCTAACTTGCTCAGTGTGGACTGTTGCTTTTGACCTGAGGCACAGCAATTGGCCTGGGACGTGTGTGTGTGTGTGTGTGTGTGTGTGTGTGTCCGTCCCCATTTGCCTCTTCTTTCTTGGTTCACACCCTTTCATTCTGACAGAACAATAAAACATACTAGACGGAAGGTAGCTTTCCTCTAGAATCTGGAAGAGCAGACTGGCTTCCAGCACGGCCGAGAGCTCGAGGACAAGGGCCTTTCCTGTCTTTTTCTGATCCCTCGCAGCACCTCTTCTTTACGCTGCACCTTCCGATTTCGTGACCATCTCGTGCCTTCAAGTGGGCCTTCATTTGCACCTGACAGCCCACGATGCCCTCCAATCCCAGGGCAGTCTTTTTCTCACTTCATTTCCCCGAGCATAACCTTCTATTTTCCTGTTTTCTTCAGGCAGCTGATGGCCTCTCCTGAGTCATTGCTGAATTTTCTAGTATCTACTTCTTTTGTGCTTTCTCTTTCTACCTTGGGCCTTCAAATTTATTTCCGATGTTGCATCCAGAGTGATCCTTATAAAATGTAAAGTGGAGCATGTTATTCCTGAGCCTAAAATCCTTCAAAGGCTTCCCTTGGAGTAAAAGTCAAAGTTCTTACAAATTCCTACAAAGGCCCAACATGATTTGGTCCCCAGCCCAGTGACCTTGTCTCCCAGTACCCTTGGCCTTGCCCTTGCTCAACTGGGCTCCTTCCAACCACATGGTCACTTCACTTTAACAGTTTCCAGCACACACAAAATGTTCCGTTGTGTGCCATCCTTTATGAAGACATCATACAGAAAGGTGCATCAGCAGCATCTTAGGACACGAGAACCTACATGATTGTTGCACACACAAAACTTGGTAGGAGAAGCTAATTCATTTCTTGTAAGATTAAAGGTTCTTTCCATTTCTATTCTAGTAGCTAACACAGAACCTCAAATATAACACACAGTTAGCAGAAAACAAACATTCCCTATACTAAAATTTGGCCAATTTTAATTGAGGGATGAAAATCACAGAAAAATTATATCTGCCTTAATCTTTTGCTAACTGGTCAAAAATGTAGACGGGACACTGGGGCTTGGTTTGGAGCCAGGAAGAGGATGGTTGTGATAATGTACAATCCCCCTCCCCAAACTGTAATTTAGGTATGTATGCATGTATGTATGTATATGTGTGTGGACACACACACACACACACACATCAAGCATACTCAGTGTTTTTCTGCAGACTAGTGCCAGTTGGCATACTGTTAAAAGAAAATACAGAAATACTGAGGATTTAAAGACTTTTAGAATAGTTTGAGATTGCTGTCATCTTAATTGTATTTTACAGAAATGCTTGTATATCTTCTCTGGATTATTGGATAACATTAACAAAATGGATGCTTCACATTTGAGAAAAATGTATCCACTGTCTGTAATTGGGGCGCTATGGTTTCATCATTACTCATTTTGGGGCAAGGCACACAAGACTGCCTTAAGTATAAATCCCATGCCAACGACAGTTGTTTTGTCTTTTTTGCTTTTCATAGCTTTGTGAATTTAAAATTGCAGATGAGGGATTAGGACCAACTACAATTAAGATCCCAATGATAACAGTACCAAGTATTTATAGAATGCCTAGTCGTGCCAGGCAATTAAAATTAAAAATCACATCAAACGTCAAAATCAGGCAGCGTGTGCACCAGGGGTGCATCCTCTCACCATACTGTTCAGTCTGCCTGCTGGGCAAAGCATCAGAGAAGCTGGATTTGATGAAGACTACGGCATCAGGAATGGAGGAAGGCTTATTAACAATTTTCAATATGCAGATGCCACAACCTTGCTTGCTGAACGTGAAGAGGACTTGAGGCACTTGCTGATGAAGATCCAAGACTGCAGCCTTCAGGATGGATTACAGCTCAATGTGAAGGAGACCCAAATCCTCACAACTGGACCAAAAGGTAACAGCATGATAAATGGAGACAACAGATGTCAAGGATTGTGTCTTGCTTGGATCCACAATCAATGCGCATGGAAGCAGCAGTTAAGAGGTCAAATGCTGAGCAAGGCCTCTTTAAAGTATTAAAGCAAAGATGTTACTTTGAGGACTAAAGTAGCCTGACGTAAGCCCACATGTCAAAGTTGGGAACTGAATAAGGAGGACAGAAGAAACGATGCATCTGAACCACGGTGCTGACCAAGTACATTGAAAGAACCATGGGCTGCCAGAAGGACAAACAGCTGCCTCAGAAAGAGTACAGCCGGAAGGCTCCTTGGAGGCAAGGATGGCGGGACTCATGTCACGCACGTTGGCCATGTCAGGAGAAATCAGTCCCCCGGTAAAGTGGAGGGACCGAGAAGAGGAGGAAGGCCCGGGACCAGATGGACAGACACTGTGACTGTAGGCTCAAACATAAGAACGCTGTGAGGATGGTGGGGGACCAGGGGACGTTTTGCTCCGTGGTACGCAGGGTTGCTACGACGACAGCGCCTCCTACCACCAGTGTGTGCCAAACACTATTCTAAGGAGTTACATAATGGCTAAGATTTAAATCTTCTCAAAAAACTCAAATATAAAAACACCAAAAAAACCCCACAACAACTTCAGACTTATAGCAACCCTATTTAGGGTTTCGGGGCGCTAAATCTACAGGAGCAGATAGCCTCGTTTCTCCTGTGGAGGACTGGGCTTGAACTGCTGACCTTGCAATTAGCAGCCCACAAAGCTGAGAAAACAGAAGCAAGTTACTTCAACCAAGACAATCAGGTCCCAGAATGTTCTTTAGGCTCCCAATGGCCGTTTGGTGTGGGCATAAAGATATCCTACATCTTCACAAACCTCAATCATACCATGCAATAATTACCTAATAAGTAACGCTTAAAGTTACGTCACAGAGCCAGCAAAGCTAATCTACATTTTATACTGTTTAAGAAAAGCAAAGATGTGTGATGTTTTACATGAATTATTTTCAATATTTAAAAAAAGAAAAAGGAAACTTAGTACTTTTTTAAAAAGGAGATCAAACCCTCAGCTCCCCACCAAATCACACTATGGAAAAAGATGAAATACTCAATAGGTTGTTTCGGTCTATTTTTCCTTTTTTATTGGAATCAGGTGGAGGTCAACGGGCAGATCCTGGTCGCACACTCAACACTCCATACACATTCGGATTCAGCTCTCCCTCCGCCATCCACGCCACGCACCGTCGCCGGTCCCACTTCCTCCCCTCTCTGGCTGCCATGCCTCCTCATTTCTACCCTCTGAACTGTCCTTGGGCAAATGCTGCCCCTGGACCTTAACTGGCTGGTTATCCTATTGTGAAGATGAGTTCAGTTTCAGACCTGAAAGTTGAACAAGGGCCATAGTCAGGGGGTGTGGGTGGAGGGGTCCCCACCACTCTACCCGACCAGGAGGCCTGGTCTCTGTTATGATTTTTACATCTCTAACGGGTGAAACTACTTGCCTCCAATTAGCTGAACTCATGGCAATTCCACATGGGAGCTGCTCTCTTCTAACATTTAAAATCTATCCCTTACACATTATTCTGCAATTTATAGAACCTTCTCGCACTTTAAGACCTTCCAAAACAGTCTAGCTCAAAGAGAGACATACCATGATGATGCAACTTACCGGACACTGTGGCTTTTCCTGAGATGGGGGCCGATGTGGACACCAAGGACGCGGCACTGACGACGCTGGGGGCAGCTTTGCAGGTTCCCATGGCTGCCTGGCTCACACTCACTTGTTGCTGCCCCGAAGTCTTCATGAGAGAGCCTCCCGCAGATGGTGAACTGAGGGCTGTCCCTGCAGACTGCTCGTACACAGGGCCAGAAACAACAGAAATCAGGAGACAGCACTGTAAAATGCTCGGAATCACTATGATCTTTTAGTTACTATTACCTATTAAATGTTATGTCATTTTAAAAGATTTGTTTCCCAATTCAGTGGTTCTCATATTTCTAGATCGTATGGCTCAGATCAATTTAAAAATAAACAAAGAATTATGAGGTTATCGCATTAAAAAAAATTCTCCTTATAAAAGGATTATTTCAACACCCAAAATTGTAATGCTAGGACTCAGAGACAAAAGCCCGAGTAAGGAGTGGAGCACCAAGTGATGGGAGGAATGCATCAGGACCCACATGCACAGGGCACCACTACAGCTGAACGGGAAAGTCACTACGTCTGCCACGGCTGCAGAGTGGGGGCAACTGGCGAAGTAAGTAAATAATGTAACCCATTAGAAGCATATTCAAGATTTAAGGCAGAGAAACTGCTCTTGTGGGGCTAGAAGGCAGAAAGGCACAGGCATGAAAGGATCTAGCACATTCAAGGAACTGCCGAGCAGAGTGCACCGTGACCGACAGAAGGCAGACCGAGGGGAGCAGCAGGTCAGAGCAAACAAGTCTTTAAAGTGTGAAGACAATTCAATAGGAGAAACCGTGTTTAACAAACGGTGGGCCCAGTGGCTCGAATGACTATGCTCTTGGAAGAAATCATAAGATCCAATTTTTGTGACCTTGGAACACATAGTAGTTACTTAATCATAATACTAAAAGTGAAAAAAGGCATATAAGTTGGATTTTATCAAAATTTAAGAATTTGTGCTTCAAAGAATATGGTCCAGAATGTGAAATGAAAGGAACCCAAGTATAGTTTTGGGGGGAAATAAGGGACTTCTATATCTAGATTGTAAGGAGAACTGTTACAACTCCAAAAAGACAACCCAACTCACACATGTGCAAAAGACCTCAGCAGAAATTACCTCAGATATGCAAATAGCCAATAATAAGCATAGGAAAGGATGTTCGACATTGTAAGTCATCAGGGAAATGCAAATTAAAACCACAAGATGCCACGTTACACCCATTATGAGGACTGTATTAGGAAAATCTGACAGTGCTGTTGAGGATGTGCAGAAGTTGGTGCCCTGTCTAACGCATGGGGCAATGCACAACGGTGCATCAGTCTGGGAAACGGCATGGCAGCGCCTCAAAAGTCTTATGCCGCAGCAATTCCACTCTTAATATGCCTTGGAGAACAGAAAGCACATGCTCACACAAGCATCTGCTCAAAGACACGCACAGAAGCATTATTCACAGTTGAAAAAAAGTGGAAGTGCTCGTTTACTGATGAATGGATAAACTTAATGTGGAATGTCCATTCAATGAAATATTCTGTTATAAAAACAAAAGCAATACTGATACGTTACAACCTGGATGAACCTTGAAACAGACACAAAAGGTCACATATTATATGCCTTCAATTGTGTAGTGTGTAGGAAAGAAGATGCGTGGGTATTTAGGGCTAGGGAAGGAGGAGGAGAGAGTGACTACTAATGAGTACAGGTTCTTTTGGGGGTGATACAAACGTCCTGGAATTAGACAGTAACGGTGGTTGTGCAACCTGGTGCATGTCGTGAAAAGCGCTGACCAGTGTATCTGGAAATGGTGAACTCACAGTATGTGATTACACCTGAAAACATCAGCAGCGTGACCCGCCGGCCTGCCCGTGGAGCCCGTGGCTTACACCGCCCTGTCGTGTCATATGCTTCTCTCTGCTCCGCTCTCACACCAGCTCACCTGCTGGGCAGGACCATTGGCCGAGAGGGCCACAGCTGTGGAAGTGGCAGTTGTGATGACTCCCCCGGCGACTCGCAGCATTGTGGTTCCAGGCTTTGAGAGTTGTGAGGTAGCTGGCACCGTCTTCAAGGAGCTGTCGGACATTTTCACCAGGGATGCTTGTCCCCCAGGGGCTGTCTGCAAGAACAAAATGAACTGAAGCAATAATGTTGTCCTGACCTACATTTGAGACATGCTCCAGGAATTAAGAGCCTATCCAAGAAAATCTTGCCAATTCAAACTATGAGATTGCTCAGAAAAACCCAAAGCTATGGAGTTGAAGCACTTTTCCAAAAAATTCTACACTTTGAGAATTTTTATCTATAAATATTTTTACCTCTAATGCAGTAAAGTAAATGAACACATTTGTAAATCACCATTTGGCAGCAGGGTCTGAAAAATATCAGGTCATTTGTTTCCAAAGTGCTCTTAAATGGACGTTTCTTTAAACATAAAGATCTGACCCGGACAGGGCCAGACTTGCATTGATAGATGAATGGTGTTGTAGAACAGCTATGCAGGGGAAAGATGTGGCAGTTTGTTTCTTAAAGACTGCCCACTGCGGGCTCGTAGATTCTAACAGTATCCCACAGAGCAGAACAGAACTGCCCCACGGGGTTCCCAAAGATGTAACCCAATTGACAGAAGCAGACCACGGCACCCTTCTCCCACCCTCAAGACACAGCTCTGGAGCTCTGTCTCCCACAGTCGCTAGGAGTCAGAGTGCCTGCACAGCAATGGGTACCTGACGTTCAGGTCGGGCATTTCAGTTCCGGAGAACCATTCAATAAATTGGCTTCAAAGGCCTCAAAGAGGGCCCACAAACTATTTCTCTAAATGGCCAGGTAGGAACCAGCATGTTTGGCTACGTCACATGACCTGTGGGACACCACATTTAACAAGTTCAGGCCTGTTCTGGTTTCACTGCGTTTTTCATGATGGAATCAGTTTGAAGCCCTCTAAGAAAACGGAAGTGAAAGGAAGCAAAAAGTACAGAAACCAACCCATTTGTTATCAGAAAAACAATACAGACAACCAACAAACTAAAAAGACAGTTCTCCGAACAGCTCAATTAATTCTTCTGTAATCTACCCATCTATGGGCTAACATCATGCACTGGTCATTTAGAAAACGACGCCTCGCTGAGTTAGGCAGTTCATTCAAATGTTGCTACACACCCCCCAGGCTCATCAGAAGAGTCTTAATTTTAAGTATTAGCAAACATCAAGCGCCCAGTGGTGGATACAAATTTTAGCAAAAAACAGTTCTCTTTGATGACAAATTCAATCTGTCCTTTAGTGAATCTTTTAGTCAAGTCTAAATAACCATGGCCTGTAGGTCACTTTCACAACAGAAAATGATGCTTCACGCGTGAAGTGGCCGCACAGCTTTCTCCAGAGAACCACGGCCCTGAAGGATGCGGCCAAGGGCCGGCTCTATGTGCATGACCTGTTGCACATGATGCGAAAGGCGCCTATCCTTGCAAAGGTCGAAAGTTACTACCAAGTGGTACTGGCAGTTTTCTTGATGCTGCTGCGTGTGAAGGTGGAGAATACGACGACAACAACACTTTGACAGTTTGGGGCCATTGCCATGATACATGTAAGGTAGCAGCAGTTTTGCCCAAGGTTGCTTTTGTACCACCAGTGAACAGGATGAAAGAAGCAAGTTCTGTTATCAGTTTACTGTGTAAAGAGTCTGAGCTTCCGGGAGTCCTTGTTAGGTCTCAGAGGCCTCCAGGCACCTTTACAGCATGCTTTGAGAACTGCTGAGATGTAAGGAGTTGCAGAAAAGGCAGTTTACAAAAAAAAAAAGAATGAACAAAAAACCTCTAATGGTTTCCTAGTGTTTAAGGAGCCCAGGTTGGCGCTGTTGGATAAACACTGGACTGCTAATGGCAAGGTTGGTGGTTTAAACCTACCAGCTGCTTCACTGGTAAGAGTCTATCTGCTCCCACAGATTCATTCTCGTAAAACCTATACAGGGTTGCTGGGAGTCTGAATCTAACTCGATGGCAGTGGGTTTGGTTCAGGATCATACTGTAGGAGCCCTGGTGGCTTACTGGTTCCGAGTTGGGCTGCTAACTGCAAGGTCAGCAGTTCGAAACCACCAGCCACTCCTTAGGAGAAAAGCATGGCTTTCTACTCCTGTAAGTTAGTCTTACATCGGACAGTGCAAGAAATGACAAAATAGTAATTTATAAATAAGCAAGGGCTCATGAGGGAGGGGGCAGCGGGGAGAGAGGGGGAAAATGAGGAGCTGATGCCAGGGGTTTAGGTGGAGAGCAATGTTTTGAGAATGATGAGGGCAATGAATGTGCAAATGTGCTTTACACAATTGATGTGTGTATGGATTGTGATAAGAGTTGTAAGAGCCCCTAATAAAATGATTGGGAAAAAAAAAAGAGAGTTAGTCTCGGACACCCACCAGGGCAGTTCTACCTGTCCTACAGGTTCATCAGGAGTCGGAACCGACTCAACGACCGTGAGTTATTTTTTTGCTGTTCTTTAGTAAATCTCATTTCGTATTTTCTCATTAGATTCTTTTCTTTTAGATAGTTTTATTGGCTTATAGGTCACATATCATACAATTAGGTCAATCATAGTAAGAGATTAAATGTTTTGGGGATTCAACTAAAGTTTCTCCTATACATGATCTTAATATCCCTCTTAGGTTAAAGTCCCTTTGGCTCATACTGTAAGATGCTAAAGAAACTTATACCAAGCCCAGTATAGGATTTAATTACTGTAGGGGTATTGTGAAAGAAATCACCTATTCAACCATTCAGTGTCTCCTACTTGAAGTCTCTCTAAAGAAATTTTAAAATAAAGTTATCAAATCTTTCTTCCTTTTAAGGAAATGGGTGTGATTTTTCTGTCCTTAAGAGTAGGGGTCTTACCATGCTTCTCCTTGTGCTCAGACGGTCACATCTATACGTTATAGTAACTGTACAAAATCTTACCGTTTGCCTATCTAAATACCCCCCTGGGATTCTCTCCTCATTCTACTATCTTTCCCGAAATAATATGGTTTCATTTTTGGTTTTCTATACTGTCTTATTACTTATTTTCTAAAATGTCTTCATGGAAAAAGGCAAATTGTGAATACATGAATTTAAAACTGTAAATACACTTCAAAATGTTTATGGAAAATTCGTTATTTTTCATTCCATTTTCCAGTGAATTTTTGAAAGGCTCTCCCTCCAGGTGTCACGAGCCCGTGTCCAGGGACTCACCTGTGTAAACAAAGTGGTTTTCTGTCCAGAGATGACTTTTAGCGTCTGTTGTCCTTGTGCAGAAGACGTGCTGACACCCAGCGTCCCTTGGACCACTGACCCAGTAGCCAGCTGCTTTCCAGATGTCTGTGGTGATGGCTGCCCAACTAAAAATGTGCCCTGAGTTAGGAAAAAAGAGAACTCAGCAACAATCTGCTCAATTCAAATAATTCGTTCTCATCCTTTAAATCACAAGGCCCCATGTTATACACTATGAGGCTCTCCTTCAGTTCTGCAACTTGGTCAAAATAATTGAAAAGAACAGCTCTGCTGTTGCTACCAGCTAGTTATCCTCGCTTCCCAAATTTCACCCAGCAGTTGAGAGAGCAGGCTGATAGAAACAAGCTTGGAGATCTAGTTTAACTCACACAAACACTCTACCATTGAGCGGATTCTGACTCAGACGTGACTCTACAGACAGAACTACGTTTTGGTTTTCCAAGATCGTAAGCATTTACGAGAGTAGAAAGCCTCCTCTTTCTCCTGAGTGACTGGTGGGTTCGAACTGATGGCCTTGTAGTTAGCAAACCAACTCCTAACTCAGTATGCCACCAGGGGTCCTCAGTTAAATTCTTCAAAGTTTGATTTAATCCTTCAGGAAGAACTCCTGGAACCCAAATTCTATTTCCTTCCTTAGACATATTAGTAACGAGAGGAAGAAATTAGAAATGTGTCCCTAATCTTGAATTTCATCTAGCTACTACCATCACTTGATGGTGTTACGTGGGCTTCCCCTTTCTGGAAATATATTCTCAATGACTACTGTCTCCTGCCACACGGGTTTGGGGGGCAAGCAGCACAGTGGAAAGCATTTCTGAGTCACAAAGATCTGGTTTAAATCCAAATCCTGCCACGAGTTCAGAAAGGAGACTCGTCTTTGTTACTAAGTCTCTCTGAATTCCTATTGTGTCTTCCACCCAGCAAGTGGATGGCATACTGCCCACCAAGGCTGCTGAGAGGGTTAACTTAAATGAGGGAGCCAACACACAGTGCACACCACTTCATACTGTGTGTATCCACCCGGCACGTGGTAAGCAATGCGTAACTGTGAGGCATTCCTATAACCGCTGGCCACCCAGCCTGGTGTACTACACATCTACCGACAGAAAATATATAGGGGGGGGGGGGTGTAGTCAAAGAAATTGCTCAAAAGTTAAAAGTGCGACTTATATATTAACAACCCATTAAAGACTATAAGGAATCTAGAGATACTTGAAGTATATTATATGGGAAAATGTGTGTAGGTTATACACAAACACACGATTTTATACAAGAGATGGGAGCATCCCAGATTTTGGTGTCTGCAGTGGGGGTCCTGGAACCAACCTCCCTTGGATATCAAGGGACAATCGTAATTTGGAAAATTCCTGGCTTAAATGCCAATTCTCAACACAAAACAGGTGCAACAGAGCATTTGCAATGCAGCAAAAAGGTTCATCTTGACCCCAGAGCTGTAAAGGGATAACAATGTTTTCTCACAGGTAACTCGACCATGCACACAATGTGCACAGGGCTCACAGCAACTAACACTCCAGCTTTCGTACTGTTTGCAGACAAAACACACCCACTGTATGATGCACGAGTTAGCTGCCGTCAGTCGATGCCGACTCACAGTGACCCTGTAGGACAGGGTAGAACTGTCCCTGTGAGTTTTTGAGACCGTGACTCTTTACAGGAGGAGAAACCTGTCTTTCTCCTGAGGAGCGGCTGGTAGTTTTGAATTGCTGACCTTGCAGTTAGCAGCCCGACGTGTAACCACTAGGCCACCGAGGCTCCCTGCCTTCTAGCTAAAGGCAGTATTGAAACACGAAATGACTGAAAAGATGGCAGCAGACCTGGGGCGTCTGCTTCAGGATGTAAGACGTGTAGGTCAGGTGCTGGGATAGCCCTCCGGGGCCAGTGGTGCTCTGGGTTCCGCCACTCCCCCCGCCTCCACCTGAGCTGCTGCCTCCGCCTGCACCACCAGCACCAGCAGCCGAGCCCGACTGGAGATCTGAAAGTGCAGAGATTCAGAATAAAGTCACACACAGGACCAAGCAAAGACTGCCTGGGAGGCCTCTCCTCTACAGCACGCACCGTATTGTCCTTCCTCCTCCCCATTTTCCTCCTCTGCTGGGATGGGCAGACCGAACTATATTGACTTTCCATCAAATGAAACCTGACTGCTTCAGCTGAGACAAAGGAAGGGCTTATCACCCCGCAGGTGTTGCTGTGTTTGTGCGGTGGTGAGTCTTCTAACCAAGTGTTGGAAATTCCCCAACACTGACATTTGCCCAGCCAGGTGCTGCCCGACGTTTTTTGGCATCTGACTTCGTTTGAAGGGGCTGAAGAGACTGGGTGTCACTCTGCAGTCCATTCTACTTTGCTGTAGCTTTGGGCCCTCTTTACTGCCCTTCAGGGGCCCTCGTGGCCCAGCGGGTTACCCACTGGGCTGCACCCCCAAGGTCAGAAGTTTCGAGTCACCAGCCGCTCTGCAGGGCAAAGACCAGGCTTTCTGCCCTCGTCGAGCATTACAGTCTGGGAACCCGCGGGGGCAGTTCTGCCCACCCTAGAGGCCGTGAGTTGGAATGGACTTGATGGTGGGGTTTGATTTGTTGTTTTTTGGTTTTACGTCCCTTCGGTGATGGTGAGTGTAAAATTACCTGGAACAAGCATACCCAGAAGTGTGTATGAGAGCTCAACTTTCTTTCAGTGGTTCCTGTTGGGGTAAATTCTACTCTCTAGATGACTCTGGGGGAACTCAAAGTACTACTTTCTGAGATGTCTGCTTTTGATATAGCACTGCTAAAGTCACGATGAAGAAAAGCCAAGGTGAGAGGACCATTAACTGGTAGCTAGCTGACACACAGCACTGGGGAGGGCGAGCCACTTCGCATGCTCCTAACCACTACACCAATCTGAACTGACTCTAGTTCTAGGGGAAGAACTCCCTTTACTCTGTCAACACCACCCAAACTACCTTCCGAGCTAAGTGTGCCAGTTCCGTGGGGCTTCAGTAGGACTAGTGTGCCGCGGTGGTGTACGGCATGCGAGGTTGGGTGTTCAAGCGCACTAGCCGTTCTGCAAGAAAGCTGGGGGGCGGTCTGCATGGTGAGATTCACCGGCTGGGACGTCCCACCCAGAGTCCCTGGGGGTTGAATCGACTCCAGGGCAGTGAGCCTGGCTTTGTCTTGTTTTTTGAGTTTTTAATAAGACTTTCATACTAAAGGCTGAGTCTGTATTTCTTTCCATTGTCTATTCTTCAAAAGAAAAGAAAGCCATAAAACAACCACCACCAAGTTGATGCCAACCCACAGTGCTCATAGGCACTGTGAGGCCGTACATGTTTATGGGAGGCAGGCAAGCCTTAGCTTTCTCCCTCAGAGCGGCTGGTGGCCTTGACGGCTGACCTTGAGGTTGGCAGCCCAACGTTTACCTGACAGTGCCAGCAGGGCTCCGTAAAGCCAGCCTATCTCAACAGAGGCCAGCAGAGACCCCTGGTCCCACTCTTGTTCCCCATCTCCGTGAAAATGAAAAGACCTTCAGCTACTGGATGCAGGTGGTCTTCCCATGTGTTACCAGGTGGTGTTCAGCTACAGCAGTGGTTCTCAGCCTTCCTAATGCGCGACCCTTTAATACAGTTCCTCATGTTGTGGTGACCCCCAACCATAAAGTTATTTTTGTTGCTACTTCATCTGTTATTTTGCTACTGTTATGAAAATTGGGCAACCCCTGTATAAAGGTCGTTCAACCCCCAAAGAGGTCTCGACCCACAGGTTGAGAACCGCCAAGCTAAAGGAAGCACTCTCCATCCAGTTCCCACAGGCGTCTCCCAACAGCACCCCCCACCCCAACCCCAGTGAGCCATCTGACCCCAAACTTGAAGAAGGGAACCCAAACAACCCATCACTGCCTAAGCCTACGAGTGTTTCAGTCCCTTTTAGTTAAACCCTGGTCTTTAAAACCCATTACAGAGCTCTATGGAAATGCTTCCTGAAGCAGCCCCCCCCCCCCCAAGGGCCGTGGCGCGATGGACTGACTTGCACTGTTGGTGGCTCGCAGGATGGCTCCTTGCGGGATCAGCAGCAGTTTGCCTTTTCCTGAAGGGTTCTTGCTGTTGGTGGTGAGGTAGAGTTTGGTGCCAGGAGGCAAATTTGCCAAGTTAGCCAAATTGGTGGCTGGTAGCTGCAGTGTTGCCATCACTAAAATAGTAGACGGGGAAAGGGAGGGAAGAGACGGTAAATTGGAGCAGAGAGTGAAGCTCTTAGGTACAGGTTACATACAGCACTTTATAAGCCCTAATGTCCTCCCCCCAACTATCATGACCCCAATTCTACCTTAAAAATCCGGCTAGACCAGAGCATGTACCCGGGTACAGATAAGAGTTGGAAACACAGAGAATCCAGGACAGATAAACCCCTCAGGACGAATATTGAGAGTAGCCATACCAGGAGGGGAAGGGGAAGGTGGGGGGAGCTAGACAACAGAAAAATGGGTGAAGGGAGACATCGTTCAGTGTTTAAGACAAGAAAAAATAATTTATAAATCATCAAGGGTTCATGAGGGAGGGAGGGGAAAAATGAGAAGCTGATACCTAAGGCTCAAGTAGAAAGAAAATGCTTTGAAAATGATGATGGCAACAAATGTACAAATGTGCCTGACACAATGGATAGATGGTGATAAGAGCTGTACGAGTCACCAATGATTTTTAATAAATAAATTAATTAATTAAATAGAAGCACTAATAAATGGTAAACTCTAACGTTTAAGTTTCCTGCATGCATCATTGGCTGATCGTCTCAGCACCACTGTAGACAGGATACAACCCAAGAGTCCTCCTGAACTGCTATCTGTGTACAGGAGCTGTCGTTAGTTGCCAATGAGTCAGTTCCAACCCATAGCAAGTGCATGCACAACAGAAGGAAACACTGCCTGGCTCCTCCCCATTGGTCTTATGCCTGAACCCACTTAGCGACACAGTGCGTTGGGCCATCCATACAATGATCACCCTTATCACACTCTCCAGAGATGAATGCAAGGTGCCCATTTGTATCCAAACCCACTGTCATAGAGTGATTACAACTCACAGCAACACGATAGGGTGGGGCACACCTGCCCCATGGGTTTCAGAGACACTCTCTCCTCACAGGAGTAGAAACCCCTGTCTTTTTCCCAAGGAGCGGCTGGTGGTTTTGAACTGCTGACATGGCAGATCTCAGCCTGTGGGTTGAGATCCACCAGGGCTCCCTCCTTTGCAGAAAGCCTCTTTAATCAGTGTCTAGGAATTTGGGGCTCCCTCACTTTCTAAGAACTAAGGAGCATGACTGTCGACAACTGGCTCTAATTAAGCTCCAATTAATCTTGTTAAAATGTCACCCAAGTCTAAGGGCTCTCGCTAACTCCCTGAGAGTGTTCTTGTGACTGCCACACTTGGACATACGGGTCTTACAGGGGATTTAAGCAGAAGCCTAGCGGGCTGCAGGGGTTCGCCGCAGGAACGCGGCCCCACCACGGCGAGCCTGTGCTCACTGCAGTTGTCATCCTAAGGCCGTGGTTGGGAAGCAGGGGCTCTGGATGCTGCGCTCAGAATGTGAGGGACTGTCGCACTCAAACAGTACCACGCTTCCCATCAGTCTCAGAACAAACCCTACCCTCCCGCACACCACTGTCTCAGCCGCGGCTCCATCACAGCGAGCTGACTGCCCCAGCCATGCCTCTGTCCCCACGGAATTCCTGCCGCTCTGTTTCTCTCTCACCTCCACCTTGCTGAGCATGACCTCTTCTGGTACTCAGACCTGGCAGCCCTTTGAAGCCCCTACCTCCACCGCCCCAGGGACACCCTTCAGAGGGGCTGCTCTGGATCGTACCCACACACATACCTCCTTGCCTGGGGCCGGGGCCAGGACTGGGAGATTTCCCTTTTTTGCTCTCCAGTTTGGCTTTCAAACCATTACTCTCTCCTGCATGGGAAAGCTCCAGGCTCCTTAGAGCAGTGGTTCTCAACCTTCCTCATACAGTTCCTCATGTTGTGGTGACCCCTCAACCATAATGTTATTTTCGTTGCTACTTCATCACTGTCATTTTGCTACTGTTATGAATCGGATGACCCCTGTGAAAGGGTCGTTTGATTCCGGAAAGGGGTCACGACCCACAGGTTGAGAACTGCTGCCTTCGAGGCTCCTGGCAGGTGACCACCAGCTTACCCTGCTCACTTCCCTTCTTTTACCAAAAGCTGACCCCCAACTCAAAGGACATCTACTCTTCCTTCAACGGAGACTATCGTGGTACTTTATGACAATAGTGACAAGCATCTGCCTAGGTTGCGTCTTAATGAGGCAGCTGGCATGGCAGCAACAGCTGTGGAGTGTCACTTCTACGGAGGGTCTCCAGCTAGCCTCTGGGAAGCTGCCCCTCCCACCCACCCCTAGAGCTGGGACAGGCATCCTCCGAGGCTACCTGAAGCCTACAGCCTACAGCTCAAAATTACCACAGGAGCTTGGAAGGGAGGACAGAGCCATCCGGGTAAATGCATGTGAGCTTCCGGACAGCCCAAAGTGAGCGGGCCTGGACCTGCATCTGTGCCCTGATGGGGCCGCCTGGGCAGCCAGGCTCCTCACGCCTTAGCAGGGAGCCCGAGCCGCAAGCCTGGCCAGCCGCAGAGGGCAGAGCAGGGCATGAGGGTGGGAGCTGAGCCCTGGAGGCCACCAGGCCAGAGGGAGGTGAAGTAGTCCTGCTCTGGGGCCTCTACCTCGCTTTATCCAACTCTGCCTCACCCCCCCACCAACGTCTCTTACTCTGCGCTGTGTGAGCAACAGTACCTCTATGATTACCTTATAGAAATGAATACAAATATGGAACAAGTCGACAGTCTGGGAAAAAGGAAGAGGGGTGGGATAGATATATGAATTGCTTCATTTTTCTGTAGTGACTATCGATTAACCCCCTACCTAATCTTTGGAACCTAACCAGGTGGCCAAGTGCGGAGCGATGGTTTTTCTACACTAGCGTTAGGCTGTCGGGCTCCACAGCAATGTGAACCCATTGTGTGCCCTGCATCTTGAACAAATCTCACTCCAGAGACCCAGCTCAAGCACTCACTTTCACTCTCAGTGTGACGCCCCAGACTCACGCAGCACCAGCAACTGCACCATCTCTGAAACCTTTCTTTTGGACATCGCCACCATCTATCCCTCCAGGTAATGGCCCACGGACCCTCCAGGGCAGCAGTCCATCCAAACCTTCTAAGCAAGCACCGCAAAATGCTGCCAGAGATGAAGTGCACCCCAAATGGGAAAGGGGGCAAATGAGAATTACATTTCAAGCCTGCAAGCAATGTTACGATGTTACATGTAAAGGAAAAACAATCTTCCTTATACCAACCTACTGATGTTTCCCAGACAGAATCAAATGCCAAATAAAATCACGACCACAGACATTTCTGAGTGTCTGATTGGTGCTACTTACCCGAGCCTTGGGCTCCAGTCTTCTGAGGGCCCGCAGTAGTGACCTGAGCCTTGGTGAGGGTCTGAACTGGCTGAGCGACGATGGTTCCTCCACCTCCACTCACGATGGCTTTGGCAACTCCTTGGGTCACAACTTGCTTTGGACCAACTGCTTTGGCAACGGAAGAGCTGGCCTTGGCTACAAGGATTTGGCCTCCACTGATGGCCACAGCCTGTTTCACTGTTGAAGGTAAAGTAGTCCCAACCGGCACCCCAACAACCTGTTCAAACAGAGCAGAGGGCAACAGAGCTCCACACAGGCCCACAGAGAGGGTGTCAGACAGGGAGGAGGCGTGTGGTGGAGCAAGACCAGAGAGAGAGAGAGACCAGACACACATCTGGATCCGTTCACACTAAATCGTTAAAGATGGTTGTCTTAACCGCAGAGCTTAACAAAAATCTTACGGTGGTTATGAAGTGATAATGTCTTTTATAGATAATTTGGAAAAATACAGAAATATTTTTAAAATTCTACTCATCAAAAATACCCCAACAACTCTTGACATTTTCAATGTATTTACTTCCAATTCTTTTTAGTACGCATTTCTAAAACACAGAATTGGAATCATACAATATATAGAATTTTGTATTTTTTGTTTTATCAGCATATTATAAGCATCTTTCAAACACATTTTTTAGGTAACCACATGTAGTAATATCTTTAGAACACGCGTACCATAATCTGTGTGAACATTTCACTGCTTGAGATTTTAATTTTAAACTTCCCATCATCAGGACAAAGTTTTGAGGAACACTTTCACACACATACTTCCATATACCATCACCACACACTTTTAAGTACCTCAGTTGTCCAACACAATCTGTCCCAAATTCCCGTCTGAATGCTGAGAAGTTCTGAAACAGAACATTCCCCCCTCCCCAGGAAATAATGGAAAACAAGTAATTGGTTTTGAGGTCCAAAAATCACATACATTCACCACTGAGGATAGTAGCCGTCGTGCACATCACAGTCCCCGACACCCTGCTAACGCCGCCAAGCCGTTTCTAACTTGCCCAAGTTAACAAGAACTTTCAACCTGTTCAGTGTCTGGGTTGTTTTGTGGTTAACGATTTCACACCTTTCACTACATTAGCCGCTTTAATCACATTTTCTCCTCTAAAAATGTCACTAAGCCATGTTGTATTCAGCAGCCAAAGCAGACATGCGACGCCCTGAGGCAAATTCCTCAGTGACTTCTTCCCTTCAGTCTGCTGCTCTCTCCCAGTTTTTCTGAGAGGTTACTCTTCGAGCTTGGCTGTTCGACCACTGAGGCTTCACTGTATTCCTTCCTCAGTCAGTCACCCTTACACGACTCCACATGTGATCACCACTGCCTGTCACTCTCGAACCCTCCCTGGTCCACACATTTGTTACTCAGCACCCAACGTGACACCTCTTCCAAGTGACTACAAGAGAAAAGGGGCATCTTGCTGAATTTCTCTCCTACCTTCCTGAAGGTAGACAATTGGTTAAAAAAGTTTAATAAGAAGAACCCGTAAATGAAAAAGGTTTAGTTTAGTACCCAAATTAAGAGAGTTAGAATAATCTGGTTCTAAAGTATTGGTTTTTTTTTTTTTAAGTATTGTTATGGGAGTCTTTCAAGTAAGAAAATGCCAAAGTATAGAGTGGAAGGTTAAGTTAGCAGACATGATTTAATTAATGATACATTAGTGTTTCCCGCTCTTTAAAAGAAATCTCACTGCCGTCAAGTCAACTAAACTCACAGTGACCCCGTGGGTTCCGAGGCTGTACGTGTTAACAGGAGCAGAAAGCCTCGTCTTTCTGCCCAGGAGTGGCTAGTGGGTTCAAAGTGCTGACCTTATGGCGAGCAGCCCAAAATGTAACCAGTACGCCACCAGGGCTCCTAGGAAATACACAACTGTCGCTTTTAAAGGCAAAAAGGTAAGCAGGAAGTACTTTTCATCTATCAGATTTGAAAAAGAGAAAAAGTCTAGGTGGCTCAAGAATTGACTGAAGGGTCTGGGGAAACAGGAACCCTTAATTCTCCGCTGAGGAAGGTCGATCTGTACAGCTCCTCTCGACAGCCGCTGCCACCTACACCCCATCGCATGTCATTCGTGTCATCGTCCTGCGTCGGGGACAATCTCCAGAGAAAATCTGAAGACACCGGCTCAGAGAAACATAAAAAAGAATCTTCAAGGTTATCTACAACCATCTGCACATCATGTTCAATTATGAAAGAAATCTAAACTACAAATGCCCAACATCTGCAGACCTTTGTTAGGATAAAGGGTGAATCCGGTGGCACAAGCAGATGCTGAGCGCACACTAAAGAAGCGAGGAGCTCGGCAGAAAGGGCGCACAGCTTCCACGTAAACGCCAGGAGACCAAACAATGGCACGTGCTGTTTATGTAATAACAATTGGCAAAAAAACCTTCACAGCAAGTACATGATCGTGGTGCTTCCGGGAATAACAAAGCAGACGCCAGCTTCTCTCCCTGTCATGTTTTATTCAGAGAAAAAAGATCTGAAGCAACGATTAACATTTGTTGATTCAGGGTAGAGGGCATAGACCATTTCAGTCTCGGTATTTTCCTGACAGTTTAGAATTGGTCTAAAATAAATATAAAATGATGTAGGTGAAAAAATTAAGTGAAACTCATGCAACTGCTACATGGGCTTTTAAAATTAAAACCAGTGTTAAATTACACCCGCTTGCAGTCACAGTGTGGAGACCCTCGACATGTGCCTAGGTGGCACAGAAAAGGGCAGTCACGAGCTGGAATCAACTCCACAGCAACTCAC